GTAAGCTCTCCTACCCACTCTCTAATACTATGCCCATACATCGAAAGGTTTCGATGATTTATTGCCTTCTTTTTGTTGTGTGAATGGAATGAACAATGTTTTGTTTTTTCCGACAAAAAGAAATTAAAAGTACATAAAATTATTAATGCTTTATACTTTGACAATAAGAAAGTTTTGCAATGTGACATGCATTGCCATGAATGTGGGCATTTCTCGTACTACACATTATTTTACACAGTATCTACATCCTTATTAGAAACTGCAGTCAAGTCACTACTGCAGGTAAGCGCACTTGAGGTACGAAAGTGGTAGTGATTGTTGGAACATTTACCTAGTGTGGGATTGCTGCTGAGAATGTAGACACCGATGAAGAACGCCATGGACGAGAGCATGAGAAACCCACCGTCCACATAGCAGGCAGGAAATACTTGCCACAAATTCGTGCAGCTCACGCAAATTCCAGCAATGGCTATGGCGATGATCCACACCAAGTCAAAGGTTATTTCTGTGGAAATGCTGGAGATAAGGCGGTTGCCGGCTTCAAACGAAAGATGCATGTATTGGGCAGAATGCAAAACAAATTAAGTATCCATCTTGAGAGGGCCCTCGACCTGCTTGATTGCCTTCGGCATGCGTAGTGAGAATAAACGTGCCATTCAGAATTTGCCTATTTGTTTTGCTTTTAATAGACTGGCTGTAAAGTGTCCTAATTATGAGCTGAAGCGATAGTTTCATTCTGCTAATCTTGCATCTGCACCTGTGTGTGTACGGTCACATTCAGTGCATTCCTTACCCGCCTGCTCATTGTCTTTTATTGAACTAAACGCCGAGGTATTTGATGGGGAAGAGAATAAGGACCGTATTTCAATCACAGCTAGGTAGTCAAGCCATTTACCACACTTCTGGTAGCAATAATGACTCACGCTTTTATACTTTAGTGCACTGTCAACAAACGGAAAGTACGTTAGATTCATGTAAGGAAGTCGGATTGAGCAATGATGTGGAAAATATACTGCCTGTCCACAAATTATAATTGAGTGCATTTAAATTTTGATTCTAAGGCTTCGAGCTACTTGATGAGACACTCGCAAAGAAGTGCTGAGGTTCAGTCGCCATTGACAGTGTATTAGCCTAATATTCTGGCATCAATGGAAGTATTTTTGTAGAATAGTTGCAGCATGCCTATAAAAGTGCCATTGACGTAGTCTATTCAGAAGGCAACTGGATTGCATTCAAATCCTGCAGGTCTCGAATGCGTTATTGCCCCACTTATTACAAAATACCAACCCTCAGAAAAAATAGGGCCTGTTAGTTTACAAAGGAATAACCATGCTTACCAGGGTTCCAAAAGTCGTGCTTTTGGACAGGCTGGCTATCCAAATGGACTGTTCCAAAAAGGCGCATATGAAAAGGTCTAGACGCACCTTCGTGACAGGCTTTGGTACTGGTTCCACCACCTAAGGGGTATTATAACAACAAAGCTGTTTGTGGAATCAAAAACACAAAATCATGAGGGATTTTGACCAGAAGGGTTTGCTAACATCTTTTCCTTTCTGGTTAGACCAAAACCATTTGTGGAGCTTTAGCATCGATTCCACAGTGTGTGAGGGAATATGAAAAAACGTTGTGTGCAAAGACGTGGTTTAGTGGAGCAGATTTTCAGGCAAAGTGAATGCTGATGTCTAGCACACCTAGCGGGTGTCTTAAATAATGACGAAATTGATGAGGCACACATAAGCTGACCGCATTCCCAGGTTATATAAATAAATCAAGTGCCATTAAAATCATCAAAGCAGTAGGAGATGTGATCTTGGAGGGGATTTTGATCAAACACTCCCATCTACGATA